CATCATGGCACAACACAGTCTCCGTGTTCCTGTTGATGTGTACATGGCCATTGACCTCTACCTTTTCTTAAGAGGAGAACTGATAACACTTTTAAACCTTGACAGATGATGGAAAATACATATCCTTTCTGATGGAAACAATACAAGATGTACTGTTTAGGGATTTTGCTCTCATGCCCCAGGTTTTTCACTTAAGGGGTGAACATAGTTCTAGAAGCACTTTCATCAACATATGTTAAGTAGTTTAATAAACTGTGACAAAGATTGATGTGTTCCAGCAAAAAAGTAGCCTATTTCTATGTAATTAATCGAAGTACTAATATAAAATTCACTGTGTTCACATTCCTCAATGTAGGTCAATTTATTGTTGGGCTTTCTTGCCTTGGGAGGTGGGTTAAAACGTAGTCTTTTTTTCTGTTATGCTCTGTTATGTCATGTTTAGTATTTTATTTGTGACATCGTATCATGATCATAGAGATGTTGTGACACCGATGTGTGAGAATTACAGGAGATCTTGTGCCAGGTCAGCGGCTGAATCAATTAAAAATATTTCTCCCAGGCATGGTTATAACAATAGAAAACAAGACATGAAGTTCTGCTTTGGCCAACAGCCCATAACAAACAATGCTGCTCTCCGTGGTGCTGAAATAAACAGAACACATTACCTTCGTCATTAAGAAAATTCATTAAATAAACAAAATGCTGACAAAACAGTGTCATTATTTTAATGTCATCCTTACAAATACCTTATATTCATATTTTGTGCCTCATTAGTATAGTGAAATTAATTTTTACCTGGACTAAGAGCTCCCTCATAGTAAGTGTAAAATTAGATTAAACCTTTATTTCACCAGGAAAAATTCATTGAGATTAACAATCTCTTTTACAAGGGAATCTTTCTGCCTTTTGTGGGTGGATGTGGACTCACCTCCCTCCGTCTTCTGGGTGGATGAGGGCTCCTCTCTGTAGTTCTTGTGAGATGTGGAGGACTCAATTCTCTGTTTAATGTTCTCGTGGGGTTGCATAAAAGTGATCTGCATAATTAAGACTGCAGGTGTTTTGGCCCAAGTTTACATCTATGCCTTTGTTTACAGTAAGCATTTAAATACCATAGGTCATTTTATCTTTTTTAAGCCATAGATCTATTTAGGAAAATATTTTTCCACAATAAAAAATATTTAGAATACCCGAATTGCTTTTTTACACAATTAATAAAAAATTCATGATAAACCCTACACATCTTGTTCACAGCATTGAGTGTATAAAAATGTTAAGTATTGTTTTTTCATGAGACATAAAAACAAATTTAATCCTGCACACAAATTTCTTCACTTATAAAAACTATAGATGGTGATGTACTCAGAGCTTTCTGACCAGCTGAACAGTTAAGAGAATAAAACCTGAGACTCCTTGGTTGTGTTCAAAAAAAGTTTTATTTGTGGTTTTTGAGCATCAACAATGCAAAACAGCCAGGCTCTGAAAGTAACATAACTACCAGTGATTTCTAACAATTACCCAAAAAAGTCAACTATGACTTTGTAAGTTGAGGGGTGGGGGTGTATGGATGGGGCTTTTTTTTGGGGGGGGGGCATCCCTTGGATATGAGATTATATAAYCAACAGTGTAACAGCCCCTGTCTTGATGCCTTCATAAAGTGTCAGGACTTCCCTACACAACTTGAAAACTGGCCTGTGTGCCATCAGTTGCATTGCAAAGCATTGCAAAACTTAATTTTTACTAAACTATGTAGCTTCAACAAAGGGACATTGTAATCTGCAGGACTAGCATCAGCAAGAACATCACAAGATAACATGGCAAAATGTTTCATGTGCTTGTGTAAATCTATTTGCATAATATAAAAGAAAAGGACCGCCCTATTGAATGTAAACATTAATTCACAATGCGTCGTGCTTCTGACTTTAAAATACGAAAAAAAATTTTTTTAAAGCCCTGCAGTTCAAATTTTGCTTAAAAATAATAATTTCTATATCAAGAAAGTCAGTGAAGAGCACATTTTCACATTAACATGAAGAGTTTTCTAATTGTAACTTGAAGAATTCGCCACATTGCACAGTTAAGATGAATCACCATCTTTCTTTTGTTTACATTAGAAAAAGGTTCAAAAGTAACAGAAAAAAAGCAGTCCTGTGTTGCTGATTAAAGCCATTTTCTGAGTTCTGTCAGTACTTGTTTATGCCAAATATCCAAACTGTGTGAAACTGAGGAAACTTTGGGAGTACAACGTCGAACAAGGAGCAGGTGTTGATAAAAAAAATATGTGGGATTGTATTCTCGTAGAAACTGGCCAGCATGTACCTGTAAAGAAAGCATAATAATTTGTTTCAACACTAAAGACACATCAACAAGTGAAAATAATGGTATATCATAATACAATAAAGTGTATTAATGTAAAAACACCCATTAAACATAACAAGCACCTTGTAATCTTAGCTTTCTGGTAGAACTATGAAATCAATGGCTGCTTTCACATGGGACTGGAGTTTACAATGTCTGCAGCATTCATTTATGGACATTTCTAGAGTATTTATAAAGGTCTATCATGGGGCATGGATAGACATTGTGTACATACTACATAAATATATACAGGGTTGTTTACTGCCACACTGGCCCTCAATTATGAAATAATTTAAATCGACCTGCTTATCAAAGATAAGTAGACCAAAAGATCCTTAGGAGCTGGACATCATGCTGTGATCCAAGGAAATTTAGGAAGTAATGAAAAAGAAAGTAAAGTCATTGAGATCTATCAGCCCTGAAAGGGTTACAAATCCATTTCTTAAGCTTTGGTACTCCAGCAAAACACCGTGAGAGCCATTATCCACAAATGGCCATGACATGGAGCAGTAGTGAAGAGTGGCTGGCAAACCTAAATTACCCAAAGAGTGCAGTGATAACTCATTCACGAGGTCAACAAAGATCCCACAACAACATTCAAAGAACTGCAAGCAA